CCTTCCTTATAGCAATGCCCAGTAGGAAGGCTGAGCGAGGTATCCCACTTACTATAGCCCACTATAACAGACAGGCACACATACAGACAGACAGGCACACAAACATACAGACACACAAAGACACACACAAAGACAAGACACACATACAGACAGACACATACAAAGACATACAAAGACACATACAAAGACACTTACATAAGACACACAAGACATACATAAAAAGACACATACACAAACAAACACACAAAATATTTTAGTCACCCTCCTGTTTCCTACCTTTTAGGTGCAGGAGGGTGACTTTCCCTGGGGTCCAGTGGTGTCTCAGGTGGATGGGAGTCAGAGTTCCCACTCTGACTCCCTCTTTCCGCCCGATCTGTGTTAGCTGGGAGGAGTGACGTGCAGTCACTTCCTCCCAGCGTGAGGTAATCACAGGGGGCCCGGTCACGCTCCATATGCGGCCCCGGCGGTTTGCCGTGCGGGCCGGGGCCGCAAGTAGTGATGGCGGTACCCGGTCTCAGGGGGAACTGCCGGCTCGCACCCGCCCCCCCACCCCAATCTCTCAACATTATAAAATCCCTCCCGCCCACCTGGAATCCTGAAACACCCACTAGTGGGCGGTAGAGACCAGGTTGACGACCCATGGTCTAGACTAAAGGTGTCCAAAATGTAGATCCCCAGATGTTTAAAAACTACAGCTTCCACCCTTGTGCTGCTATGCACTCTCAGGGAGGCTAATTGCTAGTCTGTGGTTAGGGCTTGGAGTCCTGTGTTGTAGAGCTAAAGACAAGATGCAGAGAGGCACACATTCATTGTAAGTACTGGTTTCTAAGAAGGCTGGGACAACTGGCCCGCATAAGGTGTGAAAAAGAAGGATGAGATTGTCAAACAGTCAACTTTCTTGAATGCCTTTTTAAAAGCTTAAAGCCTGGACACTACAGGTTAATTAGTAGATTTGTAAAAAAATCTGTTCATTGCCTGTAGTTTATCGTCAGGTCATGAGTGTTTGCTATATGTAAAAAGGCCATTTAGCAGTTTCTCCATGCTAAATATTTATGCAGAAGTACTTCCTTCTAGTTACAGAAGCAATTTATTCCATCTGCAATTAACACGGTCTACTTAATATGATAGAGAATTCATTCACAGGGTTTTGTTTTGTTTTTTGTAATGAAAGCACTACAATAGGCAGCTCTTTCACTCGCAGCACTGGGACAGGAACAATTACAAACGGGACGACAAAACACAAGGCTGCAGAGGGGAGTCATGACTAGTTCTTTGAAAGAGGCCAATGCCAATGTCTGTTTCAGATGCAGAAAGTGATGTCAGGGTAAAATACAACCAAGACACAAATAAAGATCTCCTTGAGTTTATTAAAATGACATGTACAAAAGATCAATAAATTATTACACCTTTTTCCAGCTTTGGGCAATATCGGACAGGTGACCACTCGTGTAAAAGAGATTCTGCTGAGATCCATAAGAAGTGATGTGCCAGCAGTGCGTATAGAAGCCTGTCACTGTATCGCCACTCTACGCCTGTGTGATACGGATGTTCAGAGTGCACTACAGGATCAGCTGGTCCTGGAATCTAACGAATTTGTGAAAAGGTGAGTTTGTCCACATAATGCCTTAAAATAATGGGTGACTTAACCATGCATGAATAAGAATTTATATGTATACTTTACACATTTTATTCTTAAATATTTGCAAATGTGACCAGATTATGCATTACTCCTGCAGTTTTAAGGTGGAATTACATATTCTTTGTCTATTTAGAGAGGTGAACCAAACGCTGACTGCCTTCAACATAAAGAATGAAGGAAATCAGCAAATGAGGTCATTGATCCAACAGGAGGTATGTATGGGTTGTCTTGGGAACACTAAAGGTAGACAGAAAGTCAAATGTTGTAAGCAATGGATTTTGGCTACAGTTGTACAATGCTTAAAAAAAAAAAAAAAAAAGAAAAAAGAAATTGCTAGAATTCTGTAAAAACATTATTAAACCAAACTGATCTGGTTGTGTGTATCACAGATGTCAAGGCTTTGCCAAGAGGAAGTGTTGATTCCAAAGGTTTTGAAACTGGACGAGTCTCTGGAAGAAGGACCACAGAAGACTGGACTGCTAATAGACAAGACCCAGATGGACCCAAAAGGTTTTATAGAGTAACGTTGACAAAGCACCTTCTGGGATTTTATCAAAGGATGTTTTGTACTAACGAGCCAAACCTTGTTGCATTAATGGGTTTTCTAACTTGAATGACACATGCACATTTCTTCAAAAGGAAAAAGGAGAGTGTTTAATTAAGGTTGTCTTGTTTTTTTAATGTAACAAAAAGTTGAGGTTGTCAAAAGTCATTTTCTGCATTTAACAGATACATTCACTGTCAAAAATCCTTAAATCATTGTCCGGACATGTCATCTGTAATGAAGGAGTTAAACCTACTTTAAGGGAAGAGAAAAATCCCATACAACAGAACAAGAGGCTCCTGATTGTTGGATATTACTCCAGATTTAAAGAGAGGTTTGCCACTTGCCTAATCACTAGTCTTATGTTCTATTGCTATGGCATTTTAATACCGTTTGCCGACTGTAGAGTTTCTAAAAAGGTAAGATAAAGCATGTCACAATGGCTGACGCACAGTTAATCCAGCAACGTGTCCTAGATTGTCTTACCAATTCTCCAAAATGGCCACCTTTGTTCCACTTACTTCCATTTCATTTTTGTTATCAACACTGTTTTAAAGTATTTTGCACTTATCGTGTTAAAAATAAAAAGTATTTTTGTGGAAACAAAAAGTGACAATAGCCTTTACTATAAACTCATATACAGAGAAAGAACAGTGCAAGATTGCATGGAAATCGAAAAATTCCTTGAAGCTAAGAATTCTTTACCTGGAGAAAAATGGATGTATGCCTATTTGCTGTACTGTTAAGTAAAAATCAATAACACAATGTACAGAGAGCATTAGAGATGGATGGAAAATGCCCACAAAGGAATACAGTACTGAAAAAAAAAAAAACTGAAGGGACACATTTAGTATCAATGCTCAAGGAATCCAATTAGTAATTGCAGCTTTAGTTGTTTGAGTCAAAGGGAATAGAGATCCGAGCAGCGATGGGTACTATGTAGAATTTTCAACAAATGACAATATGAAGTCAAGTCCTACAGTGGTACAATAGTCACGAACAAAGAACTTCATCATATTAGAAATTATTAAACCACTTTACAAAACATGCAAAATAGTTTCCACAAAAAAAAAAAACAAAAAAAAAAAACCACAATCGGATTAGCCAAATAAGGAAATAAAAGGAAACTGCAGTCACTCTAACCATTTCATAGTGACTAGAGTCCCCTGGCACTGTCACTCTGTTCAGCGTTAGAATAAGGGTCTCTGGCCACTATTAAAGATGGTTTAATACCTAAAACATTTTTTAAAAAGCCAAGCACCAGCAGATTCCAGACGCTATAATCACTTCAATAAAACAAAGCATTTACAGGGCCTACAGTGTCCATTTAGATGTTTAATTTAGATTGCACCAATTGTTCCCCACTCATCAAATTATGCTTAAAGGACCACTATAGGCACCCAGACCACTTCAGCTTAATGAGGTGGTCTGGGTGCCTGGTCCATCTAGGGTTAACCCCTTTTTTCTATAAACATAGCAGTTTCAGAGAAACTGCTATGTTTATGTTAGGGTTAATCCAGCCTTTAGTGGCCATCTCATTGACAGCCAAAATCTCATTGAGAAGGCGCCAGCATCCATAGGAAAGCATTGTGAATGCTTTCCTATGGACTGGCTGAATGCGCGCGCAGCTCCTGCTGCGCATGCGCATTGAGCCGAAGAGGAGGAGAAGAGGGAGGAGAAGAGGAGGAGAGCTCCCCGCCTGGCGCTGTAGAAAGAGGCAAGTTTAACCCCTGCTTCTCCATCCAGCCTGGCGGGAGGGGGACCCTGAGGGTGGGGGCACCCTCAGGGCACTATAGTGCCAGGAAAACGAGTATGTTTTCCTGGCACTATCGTGGTCCTTTAAGTGCCACTCAACTGCTACAGCTGTAAAATTATTTTACACGATTCCCTTTTAGTGCATTTATGTTTAGTTGACTGCTCCAATGAACGTTGTGCTCACAAAAGTCATACAACAATCTAAAGTAAACCCTGACAACCTGGTGCAGCAGAGACTCTAGTAATTAGTCTTCAGAACAGAATCAGAGATTTAAAGTGTAGTGCAGGCTGTAAAATACAAAGTGTGAGATCAGGTAATGGAATCAAAATGACTGTATGCTCACGCGTACTTGCTTTCATCCTTGTTTAGCAAAAGCATCAGCACCTGAAAGCTAAGGATAGAAGTTCTCCATAGAGAGATAGGATGTTGTTCCATTTGTGTTTCTGGAACCTGCCCCATGGCTGTTCCTATATGTGGCCTGAAGAAGTCCATATTGTTCCTCTCTCCATGCTAGAATCCGCTCAACCAGCTCCTCGACCTCAGCTTCCAGAGACTCTATTCTCACCAGAGCATTATCCTGAAACCAAATCATGGTAAGTTAGCCAGCTGTCTGCAATATTATAGTGGCCTTCACACACATTTTATTGCCAAGTATCCAGGTGTGGTACCAGTGCTAACAAGCTGCCACAGCTTGAATTACAGATCACATGAAACATTGAGAATAAATTAGAATACAGTAAGACAGGCATGTACAACTTCTTAAAGCTACTGATGAGACTTCGAATCCAACAGTAGCTGTAGGGCTGATGTAGAACCATCCTGCTCTAGACTTGTCACAGCAGAATACAAATTAACAAGGGACACTACAGTCGTCCCAGGTACAAGGATGCATGTGAAAGAGCAAACAATTCTTAAAATACCAAGTAAAGCTAGTGAAACATAATAAACATGATACAGTAATATAATACCTTCCTGGGAGACAGAATAAATAGGAAATGCAGATAAAGTGCCCTGAGCAAAATACAAAAATCAATAGATAAACCAAATCTCCCACTACAACTGGTAAGATGTATGAAGTCCCCAACCTGGAGGCTGGAAAATAGTTTCTAGTTACAGGGTGATGTGGCATATAAGTTTCCCGAGAAACCTGCAAACGGACAGAATGTTGCTATAACTTACCATGTTATTAGTTTGCTCTTGAAGCTGAGGAATTGTCTGGATGGTTTTGAGATACAATTCTAGCTTGTCAATGAAATTCACAGCGAGGGATAAGAGTTCAGATGCATATCTAAAGAAAAGCAGAACAAGCTACTGAGAATTCACTTCCTATTTTGCTGTTAGAACAGGATATTATTATCGCCATTTATATAGCGCCAACAGATACCGTAGCGCTTTACAATATTATGAGAGGGAGGATTTAGCTATAAATAGGACAATTACAAGAAAGGGATACAAAGAGGGCTATAAAAAAAATAAAATCTCCTAACAGTCCACCCAGTTAAATCATGCTGTCACCTGTGATATGATGCTTCAATGGGCAAGTTTTCCTGGCACAGCGGTTTAGCCAATCTCTGCCTCATGGCACGTTTCTCCTTCAGCACAGCCTCCAAGTGACTGTTCATTACTTGTAAGGCTTGACATTTCTGGCCTGTTGTATAAATGCATTACATAAAATAAAGTAAATTTTTCCGACAGGCACACAAAACAGACAAGAAAAAGTTAAAAATAAATAATAATAAATTGCTTCTTTTGAAACCAGAGAGTGCAGTTAATTTTCTGCTCAGAAAAAAATGCAAATGGGTTTTGTTTTTTTAACTATGCCCTAAAGCAAACTAACACATTGGTAATCAAAGATATTCCACTTACTTAGGAAAAAAGGGTGGGCAATATCAGCAGTCTCTTGCTGTAGCTGCAATAGTTCCAGTTCCAGACTCTTCTGCAAAGAATGTCAAAATAAGCAGAATTAGTAATACCTACACTACAGATTTTTATGTGAGCCTAATTTCCCCCCCCACTAAATGTGACATTTCAGACTGGAGCCAACAAATTCTCTTATTTTTCAATGCATTAAATTAGGAGTGGCCAAAAGACATGGCTCAGGTAGTTGTGTAACAACACACCCACCAGTAAACCGAAAATGTTAAACTCACAACAATTAACACCTTAGTAAATAATCCTGTCAGTGTTTTCACAGTGATTTTACAACCCACTTTGCTTATAGTAATTACAAATATAAAATATTACAAAATGTGCATTCATTTGGCCTAAAATTCCCACTCTGCGAATAATCCTGATATGTTATGTTGAGCTTCCTGTCTGACACAAGACAATGTGAAGAAAGAGGTAAGTTTCACCAACACAAAGAAAGCAACCCACAGTGCACGACAGGATTTACCTGGTTGATTTCAGCTTTGACTTCCAATAGCTTCTCCAGTTCATCTACGCTACTAAAACAAGAGAACTCCTTTTGTGTTTGGTCCAAGACATCCTAAACATAGTAAGAGAGGTTAATCGATATGCTATATAGCATGCATGGTCAAACACAGACATGTGCTTGGTATGGTATTACAAATACAGCAAGAATAAAAAAAATAATAAAATAAAAAACTACTTGTCTAAGGTACTAAAGTGGTAGCCCAATCTACCATAAGGACAACCTACTTGCCCTGACACAAAATAAAATAAGTTAAAAAGATTGGGGAGCTCTTGCCTAGAGCAGTGACAGTGCTACAGGCAAAGATTATTTACACAAATTAAATTTAAATGGACAAATAGAAGCAAAAATAGCAGATGGGAATAGTCTAACTTTGCTGTAAAAAATAAAAATATAATAATAAAATATATCTATCTACATCTCTCTCTCTCTCTCTCTCTCTCTCTCTCTCGTTTTACCATTTGGATTTAACTTGCAAAAACTCACACCCTGATAGAGTGTATAGTGGGGCTGCCTGCTTGCAGCATGACTGCGCACCGAGTACCGCTGCCTGTGTGCAATGTGTGTGTGTTGCATATTGGCTGTATTTTTAAAGTAATGTGATTGAGATTTTTATTCTCTACAATAGGAGTTTTTTTTTTTAACACACACGTAAATACTTTAATACACATGTTTAGTATATATGCATAATAGTTTTAAAAGTGAAAGTTTAAAATTGTTTAATCAAACCTTGTCCTCACAAACATGCTTTATTGTTTTGACACCTACACTGCAGCACACACTGACTCAAACACTGTCATTCTAACACACACATACCCACAAATACACATACTCCATACTCACACTCTGAGCCACATGCAGAGATTTTTATTCTCTACAATAGGAGTGTTCCATCACATGACCAGTAGCCTTCATGGTCCAGCAGTCGCTATGCAGCTTGTCCCTTCACTCCATGCACAGAGTGCCGACCGCCGGGATATGATGTCATGCTCCTGGCGACCATCAGCTCTGAGCATCGCAAAGAGGGGCTGTCACTCCTCTTTTCTCCCCGTGCCTAGCAAAGCACTGCAGACCCTAGCTGGCTCCAGACTGCAGCATCCAGTCCTTCCACTACATTAACACCCAAGCAGCACTGCCGCATCCAGTCCTTCCACTGCATTAACACCCAAGCAGCACTGCCGCATCCAGTCCTTCCACTGCATTAACACCCAAGCAGCACTGCCGCATCCAGTCCTTCCACTACATTAACACCCAAGCAGCATTGCCGCAGGGCTAAACTAATAAAAAAAACTGCTCGCCATGAACTGCTTGTCCCAGGCGTCGGACGATATGAATTCCACATCTCTGTCATGCTCTGCGCTTGGTACATATGCAAGTGGATTTCAGATACAAGCACAAGCTTTAAAAGATATATGTCACAACATATGATAGACAGTAGGACAAAATTCAAAGTAGGGTTTGAGGAGTCAATAACATTAATGAACCAATTTCAATGATATTACATACAATGAATGCTTAGCATATGGAGATTTGTACGACCAGGACGTCAGAGTACTTCTTTTAAAAGAGCTCCACTTGAAGCCTCGCAAAGTCAGGCTCTTACAATTTGTATTTTTCATAATATTAGTTAAAAGGACTCTCCAGTGCCAGGAAAACATATCAGTTTTCCTGGCACTGCAGGATCCTGCAGTGCCCCTCTCCCTCCCACCCCATGTTGCTGAAGGAGTTAAAACCCCTTCAGTGACTTACCTGAATCCAGCACCGATGTCGCTCGGCGCTGGGTCAGGCTCCGCCCACGCTCCTCCCCCACCGACATCAGCTGGCAAGGGAGACCTAATGCGCAGCAATGGCCGTGCGCATTATACCTCCCCATAGAAAAACATTATTCAATGCTTTCCTATGGGAATTCCGGCAACGTTGGGGTTCCTCATGCATAGTGTGAGGACGCCCAGCGTAGTTTAAAACACTTTTCGTGTTCTGCTTACCTATGAGGAATCCGGCGACGCTGGAGGCCCTAATGCATAGCGTGAGGATGTCCAGCGTCTTTAAAAAAAAACACAAAAAAAAAAAACACTTTTTGTTTTCTAAGAACACGGAAGTCCCTCTAGTGGCTGTCTGATGGACAGCCACTAGAGGAGGACTTAACCCTACAAAGTAATTATTGCAGTTTTACATTTACAGGGTTAAGGGTGGTGGGAGTTGGCACCCAGACCACTCCAATGGGCAGAAGTGGTCTGGGTGCCTGGAGTGTCCCTTTAATGTTTGAGGCTCTAGCGTGTATTCTCGCTGAGCTGCTGAAGTGTTTGCGGTTTGTTTACATCCACCCGCTCCTTCACGTAGCTCCGCAGGAAGTAAAACCGGGAGCTGAAAGGCCGGGCGAACGTGGCGGCCAATTAAAATCTGTGAATTTCTTGGAATTATCCGCTCGCCGGACAGTCTTGGAAATAAAATTCCCCTTATATTAATGCTGCTGTGACATGATGAATCTCCCAGGACTCAGATATAATATGTACCTGAAACAACCACAACAACCACCACCACCACCACATCATCATCAACCACCACCACCACCACCACCATCATCATCAACCACCACCACCACCACATGGAGCCACTAACAAGCAGGTGATGCCCCTGCCAGGCCCTGCTCTGGGTTACCTGTGTCAGGACACCTCGCCCCAGGCATTTCTCTATCAGCAGAGCAGCCGCCGAGGGCTGGGTGGGATTCCAGGGATTGGCAGCCATTCCTGCTCACTGTCTTACCAAAAAGAAAAACAAACCGCGCGCGGTAAACGCGTCAACCAATCACACGCGGCCGCGGCGCTGCCTTATGACGTAAAACGCAAGCAGCGTTCTCGGTGATCCTGAGTCCGCCATGTTGCTTGTGGCAGGTCCCATAGCCTGTATTAGAATGTCAGTGTTCTATCACATTGCCATACCCCCGTCACTTCCGGTGTAGGGAAATGTGATAGAACAGCGCTCTATGGCCGTGTCCCTGCAGGTGTCCCCCGGCCGCTGTGTGTACGATGAGCCGCTGGCGGTCCGGGCTGAGGGCCTGGAGCCGGGGCAGGCGGTCACCCTGCACACCCAGCTCACCGATGAGGGCGGCGAGACGTTCAGCTCCCGGGGCCGGTACCGGGCGGGCAGCCGCGGGGAGCTGGATCTCACACAGTCCCCGGCCCTGGAGGGGGGCAGCTACACCGGCCTGGAGCCCGAGGGGCCCCTGTGGGCGCTGGAGCCCCGCACTCCACACAGGAGGTTCCTGAGGAAGGACGTGCAGAGCCCGCAGCGGGTGGACTTCAGCCTCTACCGGGACCACGAGCCCCTGGGCAAGCTGCTGGCCACCGCCACCCAGGACAGGACCTTCATGGGGGAAGGAGTGAGCAGGCACCCCGTGAGGGAGGGCAGGGTGAGGGGCAGCCTCTTCTTACCACCAGGTGAGTGGGGGGATTGTGGGAGTTGTAGTCCTGCACACCCTGGAGAACACTGACACCTCTCAGATCCTTCTGAAACTACCATTCTCACAATCCTCACCCAGCCTCATGCACCCCAGAAGGACAGTTTAATTTCTGTTTGAGGCATTTTTAGGTAACTTGCTAATAACTTTTTATTATTATTACTGTGATGGGATTCCAGCATGGTTAAAATTTAGTAGGCCAAAATCTCCATGTGGCATATGTGTATGTTGTGTCAGTTGGTTAGCTACATGTAGCTAGGATACTGTCATCAGTGTACTGAGCATGTGCAGGAACTGAAATTGCACTTATTTCCTTTGTCTTGGATGAGCCATGTGGTTTGACTAGATGTACAAGTCTATAGTCTGCTCATTGATTGGTTAAAGGTATATGTGGGTGTAGCTATTAATGGGAGGAGTTATGTGCCTATATAGGGAGCCTGCACTATTGTTCAGGGCTCAGAACTTGCTGTATTTTTGGTGACATTAGTCCCTCTGAGTCCCGATCGGTGATCCAATAAAGAATCTCTTCCTTCCTGAAGAAACCTGTGTCCATCCCTCTGTGCTTTGCTTCCGTCAGTTTCTCCGGTATCATTTGGTGCATTGGCTGGGAAGCTCATCGTTCAACGGTAGCTGAGAGGCAGAGGCGTGAGACGGTCTATCTTTGCCCACGTTCTCTACGGCTGCACCCCTGAACTTCTGCGTGGACCTCCCTTCGTCTCGGCGCCACTGGTCTGTTGTCCAGGAGATCATCGGCCTCTACGTAAGAAGTGCTGGGGTGTCCCCGTCGATGAGTGTGAACTCAGGTTCAGGAATGAGGAGGTAAGACAACTGCTGTTTTAGACGGCAGACCCACTAGGGGTATACCGATTGTGCGGTAGGCCCAAAAGGGGTTTAAATCTGTGTATGGAATCTGCCCCCTCTGTCGGAGGGAAGGAGCGAAGGCGCACCGCTCGATCGAACGCTCTTTAGTAAGACCGTTTGATCTGGTTAGTCAGGCGGGGTCCTGTGTAAATAGCCCTAGCCGGACACCGGTGTCTTGTCTAGACTAGCGTTCTAGGGTGTATATTACGTTCGCTAGGTCGGAGGGACCGGGAGACTAAGCGGCGCCTGTGTAAATTCGGTTCGCTAGCTCTCAACCTATCTTGGCTAAGTGGGAAGGCGTGTAAATTTGGAACCCACTAGACTTTTGATAGAGTAAATAGACTAGAAGGGCAATTTCCGCCCTCTAGTTCGCTATATGTGGTGCTTGGGCAGTGTGGCTAACCAAAACGGGTGTATATAGTTTTAGGTAGTCTATTCAAGGTACTGGCCAATAGTTTAGTTGGGATTATTGTAAATGTTGTTAAATATATTGTAGTTGGTGAATTGGTTAACTTGTATGTCCTACTAGAAAGTTAGAGCTCTGCTGTCTAGTGGGAGTGTAAATTGTGTGTATAACTGTAAAATAGCGCACGGTACCATAACTACTGACATGTACCATAACCACTGACATTGTGTAAAATTACTAACAATTGCTGTTTTATGTTATATGTATAATACCATAACTGTTACTAACTGATCTGTGACTTTAAAACTGTATTATAACCACTTACTAACTGTACCATAACCACTGACTGTAAAGATGAGGTTACTAGAATGTGATATAGTTGGTTAGTCAAAAGTTGATTTATAGTACAGATAATTGTAGAGATGAATTTGTTGAAATGTTATGTGATCGGTTAGTTTATATGGATTAATAGCGTGGATAGTTGTATGGTTTGAATAATAGTTACATTGATAAGTGTATAGTCTTTGGTGGTTTTTTTTTTGATTTAATTTCGTGTGTGCGACGTCGTGATATTGTTGAGCATGTGAGGATCCTGTGTGTGTGTTTGGGCCTAGTGACTGCGCAATGTGTTGCTGGTGATAAGGAGATTGGTGTGACTGTTGAAACTGTGTGTATATTTGTACAGCTTTTTGAATCAGACGTTCTGTTGCAATGATCTTCTGATTCACTAGGCTGTTAGTCTTTTGTCTTGTATGTTTAAAAAAAAAAAAAAAAAGTAGGGAGTAGCTTGTCCTGGTGGCCGCATGGCCTCCATGTAGCAGTCTTCACTTAAATTTAGTGCAGGGTGTACATGTGGCTGTAACTAGTAGGCTGGAATTCTATGATCAGTTTCTATATATTGACTGTTGGAAACTGATTGTTGCCTTGGTGAATTAAACTGTGTCATATGGGAAACAATGTAGCCACATGGTGGTCAGAACTAAGGACTTAATTACAACTGCTTTGGACATCCCCTCCCCCCCCCTGGCATCTGATTACCAACCCCCCAAACATCCTCCAGAGCCAGATTAGCCACGCCCATTTCTGGCTGGTATAGTCAGTATTTGCACTCCCCCTGCTCTACTATCCCCGCCTACCCACATACCTATCTGTTCCTGTGTTTCAAACTCTTGTATTTCTGTACTACCCCTCCCCCTAATCAATGATCAATGGTATCAGATGGTATATTGGTTTTTTTAAGTTACTGGATGGGCCCCTCCCAGCTTTGTCCAAAATGTCCCCTTTTACTAAACTACAAACTGAAATGTTTAATTTACCTTAGAACTAAAGATTTAATCAAACCTAGCTAGCAGGGTGGACATTGATTAAAATAAGTAATAATAAAATAGGACATAATTAATTAAAGTCTATTTGTTTCATTTGACTTTAGGGAGGCACTCTAAGCCACCTACTGGCCATCTTCGGGAGTTACATTGATAATACATTGTTTATAACAGATAGATGTAGGATTGCTTACCCTATTTTAATATATTTATTGCTATAAGGTTTTATTTTATGTATAAATATATTAAAAGTTGAGTTTTCTTATTAGACCCATAAAGATTATTTTGATACAATTACCCTCTGGTGACACCTACTGGTAGGTTTTTGGTTTAACACTTTAAAAAAAAACAAAAAAAAAAACGTTTTTTCATCCACCAAATGCTGACTAATAAAATTATCTTACTACTCCTAGACTGGAACCTATTATTGGGCAGCCTTGCCGAAGTCCCATATTAGACACTGCTTGAGTCAAATAGATTGTACACTCCCTTTAATCCAGAGGCCCCTGAAAACTTCCGAATGATAGACTCAGCATTTGTCAGCCAGGCCCAAGGTGATAGTAAAAGGAAATTAAAGAAAATTAGAGGGATTTGTAGGGATGTCCATAATACAGCTAATGGAGATTGCAAATACAGTATATATGAATAGGGAGATGGAGGAAGAACGTAAAATGAGGAAAAAGGCAGATATGCTAGCGGTAGCTATCTTAAGTGTAGAAAGACAGGGAAGTGAATAGAGGAGACGAGAATAGGCTGAGCAAGGGACTTTAAGTAGGAATTAATGTGCGTATTGTAGAAAGGAGGGACATTGGAAGAGTGAGTGTCCACAGAGAGAGCAGTATGAAGGTGATAGACAAGGAGAGAGAAGGGTACGAGGAGGTTATAGTGGTAGTTATAGAGTAAGAGGAAGTTTTAGAGGGAATGGTGGGAATAGTAGAGGAAGTGTTCAAGGAGACAGATACTATCCACCCACGCAGAGACCTAGAGAAAGAGAGGATAGAGATTTTGTGGGTCTGGCTGACACTATCATGGAAGACTATTGATACCGACTGGGCTCCATCCCACTTGGTCGAGCGTAGCCTATGGTCGATGTAGCAATAGGGGGAAAGAGAAGTTCTTTCATGATCGACACAGGTGCTGAACATTCTGTGGTGAAGCATTAGTTCCTATATATGCCAGAGTGTCCGATTCAACTTTTAGGACGAGATCTATTATCGAAGCTTTAAACTCAGATAACCTTTTACCTAATGGATTAACATCTCTGAAGTTTAAGGGATTACCAGGCATAATGGTGATATCGGTGCCAAGGGAAGAAGAATGACGCTTCTATTCCATAGTGACAAGTGTTAACCCTAAGAGTGATGAATCCTTACTTGACATTCCAGGAGTATGGGAAGAAAATAATCCTCCAGGACTTGCTCGTAATATCCCACCAATACATATTGAGTTAAAGCTCGGGGTGTATTCTGTTAGCCTTTGTATGTTGTTCTTTTATCTACCCCAACAGCTGTAAAGGTGGCGGAAGTGACTCCTTGGATTCATCATTCTAAGGTTAAACCAGCAGCAGACTCTTGGCAAACTACTCCAGATCCTGAGAATCCTTGCAGGACCCGGTTGAAGCGTGCAACTCAGTCGGAGTGACGAGGGGATATCGAGACATTCTAATTAAAAGTCTACAAAGATCATCAAGTAGGTGTTTTGACGGCCATAATAAAGCCTGACCACCTGCCTACGTGTCATAGCCAGAGTATCTTGAAGGGATCTCTGTGAAGGAAAGTGAGGATCAGAAGAACAACATCCTTGCAGCCCTCACAATCGGGAAGCTGAGAGGCCATCGCACGGTCGAAGAAAAATGAGGATTTCAGGAATAATGTGTTTTATTGTGTCTTAGTATTTTTATGATTTTTCAGGAAGGTAGGAGTACAGACATACCGAATTGCGATAGTTGCATTAAGACTACTAAAACAGGTAACCAAATATCCCAAACTTTCATCTGGCACTCACAGTATGAATGTAAGGGATCTGTATCTAAATGTAGATATTTGGATATTGATTATAGTGTGTGCAAGCCAATATCAGGAGAGTCTAAATGTTTTGATCCCCATTTCCAACCCCGTACAATTTGGTTGGTAATTCGGAATAGTAACTCCCAGGGGACATTAATAAATAGGACTGTGATAAGCACCATACATTCCGCGGGTATTCTACTATTTGATGCATGTAAGGCGATTTCGGGTAGTGGAAGACTTTGGAATGTATGTGGTAATCTTAAATGGGAACGAACTTATGGGTTTAATGATAAATACTTATGTCCCAGTAAAAGATCTACTGATCCTGATTGCCCAAATAGAGACTAACTTCTGCCCCTATTGGTCATGTGTAGGTTGGGCAACCTGGGAAAAACAGTGGATCAAGATATGATTATCCAAAGGTTGCCTACCACACCATACTGTAAAACTATGTGTGTAACCCCGTTCACATGACCATTTCCAATCTGCAGTACTTTATTGACAGGTTTGGAGGTCTGTTTGGGTTCCAAATATATGGCACAGGAGTAAATTCAGGAACAATAATATATGTAGGTCTTGAAACTGAGACAGTGGCAACTCAAACTCATCAGGTTTCTCATTCCTTCTATGAGGAGATGAGTATTGAGGATAAAATTCCCCATAATGTTAACAACCTATTTATTGATTTGGCTGAGGGTATTGCAGGTAGTCTTAATGTAACTAATTGCTATGTGTGTGGAGGTACTAATATGGGAGACCAGTGGCCATGGGAGGCAAAGGAAATATGGTACCCTGGCTCTGAGACATATGAACAACAGATACCTTTCCAGTCTGATCATCAAGTAAGTACTAGAAGTAAATTGGAATGGTGGTTAAAAACCTCCATTATAGGTCATGTTTGTATAGCCAGGAAAGGGACAATGTATAACACGTCTGTAGGTGAGCTAACGTGCTTGGGACAAAAAGCCTATAATGTTAATACTAAAAATACTACTTGGTGGTCAGCTTCAAATGTCTCAGAACCATCTAACCCGTTTGCAAGATATGCCAATTTAAAGGACGTATGGTTTGATCTATCCATCACATCTAACTGGAGAGCCCCAGCGAATTTGTACTGGATCTGTGGTAAGAAGGCCTATTCAGAGTTACCACAAGATTGGGAAGGGGCATGTGTATTAGGTATGCCAAAGCCATCTTTCTTCTTGTTGCCTATTGAAACAGGTGAGACTTTAGGTGTTAAAGTGTATGATGTGAATCATAGGAAGAAAAGGGGACCCATAGAGATAGGTGCCTGGGAAGATAATGAATGGCCTCCCCAGCGTATTATAGATTATTATGGGCCAGCCACGTGGGCAGAGGATGGTACCTTTGGTTATAGAACCCCTATTTATATGCTCAACCGCATTATAAGGTTACAGGCGGTGGTTGAGATCATTACTAACGAGACATCACAAGCGCTCAATCTTCTAGCGAAGCATAATACCAGGATGAGGACAGCAGTTTACCAAAATAGATTAGCCTTGGATTATCTTTTGGCAGTAGAGGGAGGTGTATGTGGGAAGTTTAACCTGAGCAATTGCTGTCTTCAAATAGATGACGAAGGGCAAGCAATAGCTGAGCTTACTAGCCATATGGTTAAACTAGCGCATGTGCCTACTCAGGTATGGAAAGGGTACAATCCAAGTAGTTGGTTTGGTAGCTGGTATGAGTGGTTTGGAGGGCTTAAGGCAGTGGTAGGTGGAGTCCTACTGATTTTAATGTTGTGTCTACTCCTGCCGTGTCTTATACCCTTAGTAGTTAGGTCTGTGCAAAGCCTGATAGAAAATATAGCAGAGAGGAAGGCTGCTGCACAGATAATGGCAATTTATAAATATAAGGCTCTAGATCAGGGAGAACCAATGCAGGAAGACGAGTGTTGAAGATTCACATCATAGGATAAGTCTGGTCTGGTTCAAAGGTAACTTGTGGTGTATGCAAACCAAGGTTAAGTGATGCCTCAAGTAATTGTAAAATATCAAGAGGCATCAAAGGGGGGAATGTGATGGGATTCCAGCATGGTTAAAATTTAGTAGGCCAAAATCTCCATGTGGCATATGTGTATGTTGTGTCAGTTGGTTAGCTACATGTAGCTAGGATACTGTCATCAGTGTACTGAGCATGTGCAGGAATGCAGGAACTGAAATTGCACTTATTTCCTTTGTCTTGGATGAGCCATGTGGTTTGACTAGATGTACAAGTCTATATTCTGCTCATTGATTGGTTAAAGGTATATGTGGGTGTAGCTATTAATGGGAGGAGTTATGTGCCTATATAGGGAGCCTGCACTATTGTTCAGGGCTCAGAACTTGCTGTATTTTTGGTGACATTAGTCCCTCTGAGTCCCGATCGGTGATCCAATAAAGAATCTCTTCCTTCCTGAAGAAACCTGTGTCCATCCCTCTGTGCTTTGCTTCCGTCAGTTTCTCCGGTATCATTACTAATCTCTAAATGATTGATTTCTACCCACATTTATTGTGGTTTAAAGTCACATTACAGTGAGAGTATTATTGCTGTGGAGCTCTGTTATCCACTCAGTCACACCAAGAATATGGAGCTCCTAGAAAATTGGGATTTGGGTACAAAATAGGGACTGTGCCTCCTAAATAGGGACACTTGGGAGGTGTGCAGTCTTTAGGTTTGCTGAGCACCATAGGACATGTGCACCTTGGATGCTAGGGTTACTCTGAGCACTTACCTCTACTAAGGTGAATAGAGTGACTAAGATGCAGCTGCCATTAAATCAATTTAGATGTCCGCATTACATATACAATTATAGTGCAGTACTGCTGGGTAATATGTAAAAATGTGGCAAAGCGGAATAGCAGAACTCTATATTTTGTCAGCCTTCCTGATGGGTGAACACATGGTTGCCTGAGCATGCTGAGGTAGTCATTGCTCCCAGCCCTGAGCATTAAAGGGGCCTGGCCGCGCTTCTAAATGGCCACAGCACCCGACCAGGACTTTTGTCACATTTGCTTGCATATGGGGTTTACCTTAAGTGGAGGGGGAACTCCAGTGCAGCTCTGGCACCATAACCATTACTCTGTGCTATAGTGGTTATGGTTATTGGGGTGTTTTTTTGTTTTTTTTTTAAGAAGTCTTAACAACAAATTAAGAATTCTTAATTTGCTTATTTATTGGATTTCCATTTTTTTTACTATTAATACAGATTGTGTGTATGTTGTATTTTGATAATAGTGGCTGGTTTTCTATCTATCCATTGACCTTTGGTTAGAAGTGTGCTATATTTAGATAGTAGATAAGTATGGTCATGATTTCTGTCTCCAGGAGTTGGACCTTTCCCGGGCATTATTGAAATTCAAGGGACAGGCGGAGGTCTTCTCGAATACAAGGCTAGCCTCCTGGCTAACAAAGGTTTTGCGACCCTTGCTCTGGCGTATTATAACTATGAAGATCTTCCAAAAGAAATGAAAGTGTTTAATTTGGAGTACTTTGAAGAAGCTGTAAACTACATGCTGCAACACCCCAAGGTTGGATTTAAAATAGAAATTGGTTTTAAAGGGACATTTTAGGCACCATAAACACTACAGCACATTGATGTTGATGGGAATAAGTTTGGCCAGTGTACAAATGCCAAAATAAATGTTAAAGGGACACTACAGTTACCAAAACAACTTTAGCTTAATGAAGCAGTGAACTAGACCGTAAAAAGTGTGATAATTAATGTTATTTCAAAACTGTTAACTGCTGCTGTGCAATTCACTGTAACTTATATGTGAGTAGTCAATTATTTAAATCTTATTCAAATAGCAGAACTCAGTACTTAAAGGGTGCAAGAGCCGCGCGCGCATTCAAACAGTCCATAGGAAAGCATTACTCAATGCTTTCCTATGGACGTCGGCGTCTTCTCACTGTGATTTTCACAGTGAGAATCGCGGAAGCTCCTCTAGTGGCTGTCCATGAGACAGCCACTAGAGGCTGGATTAACACTCAGTGTAAACATAGCAGTTTCTCTGAAATGACTATGTTTACAGCTGCAGGGTTAACACTAGATGAACCTGGCTCCCAGATCACTTCATTGAGCTAAAGTGGTCTGGGTGCCTATAGTGGTCCTTTAAATAATTAAATTAATTAATTTGCGTTTTAAACTTTTCTTCAGAGTAAGCTATTTGTTTTCTTTACCTTAGATATGTTGTTCATTGGTGATTTCTGTCTCCTGTCTTTTAGGTAAAAGGCCCAGGGATCGGTCTTATGGGCCACTCCAAAGGTGGAGACTTGGTTGCTTCAATGGCTTCCTTTCTGAAGGGTATAACCGCAGCCGTTCTCGTTAATGGCTCCATTGCCAATGTCGGTGCAGCCCTTAAATACAAGGATGTTTTATTACCTCCCATTGGCGTCGATGTCAAGAAAATGATATATCCTGAGAAAGGGGTGGCTGATATCACCAATATATTGGTCAACCCGCTAGAAGAAGGTAACCGTAAAAGCCTTATTCCTATTTGGAAAGCCGACTGTAAGTTTCTGTTTGTTGTCGGGCAAGATGATCGAAATTGGAGAAGTGAATTCCATGCCCAAACAGCATGCAGCCTGCTTGTAGAAGCCAGGAAGGAGAAACCAGAAATTGTACTGTACCCCGAAACTGGTCATTACATCGAAGCACCTAATTTCCCTCTCTGCAAAATCTCCATGCACAAACTTGTTGGTCTGCCAGTGGTATGGGGTGGGCAAACCAGACCGCATGCTATGGCTCAGGTGGATTCTTGGAAGAAGATCCAGATCTTCTTCAACAAACATCTCAACCAGAAAAATGCTGGTTAATCCCTTCCTACACCCAATATATTTGAGATATCTTTACATTTTGTTTCTTTTCTTTTTTAAAGATAAATTGTACCTTAATGGACTGTTAATATATGAGAGTATTAATTTAAAACCATCGTTTGTAAGAATTTACAGGCTTATTTACTAAACTCAATTTTTCTCACATTCCATCTGGCAAAAATAGGCAGATTGTGACTACGATTGAGTTGAATAATTGTCCTCAATCTGCTATTTTTGCCTCAGTATTACCGTTCTGATTTCAGTCACTTGAATTTTAGTTTATGGAATAACCTGTTAGTCTTTTTATTTAGATCTGCAAAAGGAAAATGTATTTGCCAGCTCAGTATTTCAAAGTACCGTTGCAGGACATTTATAGCAATACCACTGTACTGCCACTAGGAGAGAATGTCAGATCTGGTCTTTAACATATACAACAGTTATACATTAATTATCTGTCAGTTTAATCATTGACTTGAAATAAGTTATCCATAAAAATAAAATAACCTGCTTGTAGGAAAACAATGCACGATTAAAGGGACAGACTTTTCACAATTTCTTGCATAACATTGCTTTGTTTTTTTTTTGTAATTTTTGTCTCCCACTTAAATCAAAACTTATGGCTGTCAATCAGAAATCCAGAGATTTGTCTCATCAAATGTTGGCTCCACAGAAGCCTCTTGTTGGAGTATACCAGTATATTAGAACTCTGGGCTGGGGATACAGGGGGGAGGGCTTGCAGAGGCTGCAGACTACAGGTCCGCAGCTTTTGTAAGCTGTTCTTTCATATACCACCGGTGCTCCCTGGCTTTTCATTGGGTATAACCTGCAAAGCGCTCGCTACACATTAGGTTACCCCAATCGCTGTCGTCAGAGGAGGCGAAGAGGAATCCAGTGCTAAGGGACCTTGACGCCGGAGTAATTTGTTGAAGGGGGTTATTTAACCCTTTATATTCTGGGAGGGGCAATGGGATACTGTAGTGTTCCTTTAAATGTTAAATTCTGTCATTGATCAGTTTTTCTTCAGACTTGATGAAAACTCTGAAAAGCTCATTTTAAAAAAAAAATATTTTGCTACTTCAAATAAAAATGTATCATTGCATACTGCAATATTTTGGCATTCTTTTACATATGCACACCTTCAAAACCCTGGTGTATATGGGTGCCCCAGTGTGTTTTTGGCATGTCTAACATAATTTTGTAAAGTTCCCTGTGTCCGTGTACACAATGAGGATTGAACAAACTTGTATTGTATGTCTGGCTGAACTAGGTCAGCCTGTTTTGATACAATTAATAAAAAAGAAAAAGAAAAAAAAAAAAGTTGAACAAAGGCCAACGGTTTGCTGTTACCAGCATTTTGGCTTTGATGATAGATTGTCATACGACAAGTGATCTCAGATGTGTTCATTAAATGCAGAGAATTTCCATGATCTTTCCATTTAGTAAATTTATCAAACTAGTTTGATTTGTGTCTGTCTTCCAAAAGATGGATTTAAATTTTTTGCCGTTTATTATGATTAAATGTAGATTTTGTATAAAAAAAAAGTATATGCTTGAAATTGGAAATTTGGGCCCCCGATATTAATATCCCTGTGATTAAACACCAAATCAAATGCACTTACTATGTTCCAGCTGAAGTGGTAGAGGTTAACACAGTAAAGGAGTTTAAGCATGCGTGGGATAGGCATAAGGCTATCCTAACTATAAGATAAGGCTAGGAACTAATGAAAGTATTTCGAAAATTGGGCAGACTAGATGGGCTGTATGGTTCTTGTCTGCTGTCACATTCTATGTTTCTATGTTGTTTTTCAATTAAATATATTGTAAATGTAATGAATTTATTAATAAAAATGACGTTTATTTTACATGCATCTGATAACATTATTTTCTCAGGAGCAATAAGTATATTGTCCTTTCTCATTCAGTGCTATATATATATTTGTGGACACTATAGAGCAAGTATTGTAAACTAGGACGAGGTGGTAAGTGTCCATTAATGAAAGGTTTTATAGCGCTTCAGCCATGATGGGAAATACCGATCTGTGTTGTCTATGGGGGATATTTATCAAAGTGTTCTGAAAAGTAACTTTTAAATCCCATCATTCTTTTAGATCGTGTATTTAAGTGATCTAAAAAGTGGTGGGTTTTCTTTTAGTTATTTCTTTATAATGGAAGGAAAAAGAGAAATGAAAGACAACACTTTTGTGTAATAAATCGATGCCGAAACACAATATGTATAGTCAAAAATTTTTATGGTTGAAAAAGCAACAGATGAAAATAATCAGACGGATCGAAGAAATTGAGCCACGAATAAGCTGAAAATGAGATGTTAAATCTCCCACCCTTGCAACCCACCCTTCCTGTTCATGAAACAGCAAAGGTTTTCATTTTATTCCCTGCCAAAAGTGCTATTGATTTTTACTTATTTTTATTTTTGTAAATCAAGCAGTCTGTTCCAGGTTTGAGGACCCTCCAGATGTTGCAAAGTTTGGGGGATTTGCAGGAACTAAATATTGTGAGTATTACTTCTCTCAGGTTTAGAACAGAGGGCCCTGGCCATTAGGGGGCCATGTTTTATACTAGCCTGGCTGTTAAAAGGTCAGTGATGACAAATCTTTTATTTACCATTATGTTAATGTATGAACAGGGCTAGTAAGGTCCTTTCATTAAAAATGTATAACAAAATGGAAACAGTATCAGACCTCTGTTTTTATTATTTGTGCCATTAGAGGGGCAGGTGTTCTATCAAATTTCCCTACCCTCGTCACTTCCAGTGACGAAGCCGCACCGGAAGTGACGTTGGGATGGGGGGGTGCCGCGCAGGCGCACACAACCTAGGTAGGGATTTTTCACAGCGAGGAGAGAACCTAAAGGCATAGTGTGCACGCGCGGCACAGTACTCACGTCGGAGGTACAGCGCGTGCGCACATGGGGACATGGAGCGCTTCACACAGCGTGCATGCGTAGTATAGGGGTAGGGAAATTTGATGGCCATTAAGCCCTGTGAAATCTCCATACCCCTATACTGCGCCGACCCCCATACAGCGCATACCCCCCCACAATATACAGCCAGAGATCCCCCATATACCGAGACCCCCATACAGCGATACCCCCACAATATACAGCGCAGACCCATACTGTGCAGATCCCCATATACTGCGAGACCTATACAGCGACATACCCCCACAATATACAGCAGACCCCCATACTGTGCAGATCCCCATATACCGCCGACCTCCATGCAGTGCATACCCCCACAATATACAGCCCCCATACTGTGCAGATCCCCATATACCGCAGACCCCATACAGCGATACCCCCACAATATACAGAGCAGACCCCCATACTGCGCAGACCTCCCATATAAAGCGCAGAGCCCCCCCCATACTGCGCAGACCCCAAGATAATCTACTAAAACACCCCACTCCCCAATATAATGCACTGAAACCCCCCTAATATAGTACCGCCTCCCCTCGGATGGCTGAGAGTGTTGGGAGCAGGGAGAGGCTTTACTCAGACTATCAGAGTCCATGCATGCGCAGTATAGGGGTAGGGAGATTTCACAGTGTTTAATCGCCATCAGATTTCCCTACCCCTATATTGCGCATGCGCGGTGTGCGAAGCGCTCCATGTCCCCAAGTGCGCACGCGCGCTGTACCTCCGACGGGAGTCCTGTGCCGCGCATGCGCACTATGCCTTTAGGTTCATCCCCCCCAGCTGTGAAAAATCCCTACCTAGGTTGTGTGCTCCTGCGCGGCGTGGCACCCCCGTCCCAACGTCACTTCCGGTGCGGTTCGTCACCGGAAGTGACGAGGGTAGGGTTTTCTAACGGGGTAGGGAAATTTGATAGAACTCCTGTATCAGAAGGTCGACGCCATCTTAGTTGTGGCAGATGCCGTAGCCTGTGTTAGAATGTAGGCGCCATCTTGGTTGTGGCAATGTATTGAAGAGAGGCTGGATGAGGGAGGTGGGGGCTGTTTCCGGAAGGGTTGAGCCAGTCACTGGGTGTAGCTGGTACACTGGCTGCCTGGGATTGTTTATGTTTTGCTAACCCCCTCTGGGATCGCTGGGATTTGTTTTGGCTGGATTACATACACCCTGTGAGTGTTTGCCATCACTTTGTAATGAGGTTTGGGGTAATCTGTATCACTTTATAATTGTTTAACATTATTTACTGTACAGGTGGTTAGAGAGCAGGGAGCAGCACTGGGACTGTAAGGATAATTAATAATAATAACAATAGCAAGAGTGGCCATAAGGTAGGGATCTACTTTATGGGCAACTCCCTATTTTAGGAAATTTTGCCTCTGGGAAAAGTAGAGGAGGATTATATTGTGTTTTTAATTTGCTATTGTGATTTAAACTGGTGATAATTCTTTCTGAAAGGGAATACAATTTGTGTAAAAGGGTTATTCACTAAACACAGCATAAATTAAATCAAAAAGGCAAAATTAAAGCAACGAACCAAGCATCATAACCGCTACAGCTGTAGTGGTTATGGTGTGAGAAGTGCTCTGGCGCAATACCAGGGAACATAATCTGACTGTCTGAAAATAGCCTTATCTGGAAAAATGTGATGTTTGGGGAATAACACTAATAAATGCACTAATATAAAATGCAAACGTCAGGGTAAAAGAGCAAAGTTGTGACTATATCTGTGATTACTTGTTCTTTGTTTTTAACTCAAAGGGACCGTCCTCTGGCTTTTCTCAAACTCTTTTGGAGCAGAAAGCTAGACTATGGGGACCTGCCATAGACGACCTCCTGCTTGGTTACACTGATAATGTGGAATTTGCACTTTCACATGATCCATTTCAGTTCTGTCCAACATGCATGTCATTGACTGGCTGAGTTTATTGGGCTAACCCCCAAAACGCTATACCTGTCATTGTTGTTCAGTTTAGCACCCAGAGACCGCCCCAATCTCCAGCCAACTTGACTTAATGCTAAGATATTATACTCTAGCATCAGTCAGGCTAACACTTGGTGACCCATTCGGATGCTATCTAGTCACTAGATAGGCCGGGTGGACCTTGAGGGAGGAGAGGTGGCCTCTCTTTCGATCCAGAGCAAACCATGTCTCTAAGTTAGCTAGTTAGTGCCTCATTTCTCCACCCCCCCTTCGGACTTGTGGGGGTTATCCTCGTCTACACTACAGAGACATCCTCCCCTTAACATGGGCTCTACTGTGCTGGCAAGCGGCAGACTAGCTGCACATAATGCCCACTCAACATGGCAGATGCCATGTACTCTTCTGAAAACCAAAGCTTTGCAACCATATCCCAGCTAGACAGGCTAGCCCGATATCTGAACCCCAGTACATGGCGGATGCTAAATCGGCCTGCGCAGCTTACATCGGCCTCCGATACATCATGTCAAGCATTCCTTCGTAATTCCTACTACTAATCAGGCTAGAATATGGCCTGGGAGGTCAAAATGCTGGCCTGCTGGAAGTGTAAAGAACCTTCTGATCGGACACACGCTTTTGGAGGCCAAACAGTTAGTTCTACCAGAGGACAAAGGTTTTACAGGGGGCTTTGCTTCCTATACATTTATTGGATCCAATCTCTGCATCACTGTTTGAAGCTTATGCATACGCCTAGGCTACTGGGCATTTGGCTGTCTCCTCAAATATGGCACTCTGCTCTACCCTTGGAGGATATTGGCTATCTTGGACTTTTATCTTGATTCATAGTTGTAGCGGAACCCTTGTTCTAGCAGGGACTCTCCGCTGGTTTCTCCAACATACACTCAGGAACAAGGAGAACACGCCAAGGGAACAGCCAAACACCGTAAGATACTCCAGGAATCTCCCACTTCCTCCCCAGCAACTGGACGACACTCAGCTCTGGGGGTATAACTGATTTTAATGGAGCCACAGCGCCTTTATTGTGAGTAACCATGCAAGGGGTTTCCAAATACACATTCCAGGGGCATTCCCCACTGGACCTGAGAGTAGACTGAGACAAAAATATACAACATAATTACATTAACACTCAGGTCCAGTACATGTATAATAATCACCCCAACACATACAGTTCCCCACAAGATACCCCCTTAAGTCCTATATCCCCGGATAGTCTGGGTCTGAGTGCCCAACATATCCGAAAAGTGCTCAGATCCTACGAACGCAGCCGAAACGCTACTGGGGTATAGTTTAGACCGACCGCACACGAGGTGCCTGCCCAAAAAGGTTCCATGAAATCAGGCTGTGTGGTCGGTCTTTTTTGGAAGTATTAAATATGCAAAAAACACGTCACGAACTGTTCGTGCAGATATTCTTTCTGTGTATCTTGTTCGGGAGTTTGCTCCCCCCGAACGCCACTTTGTTCGTCTGAAGCCCCGCGACCATAAAGGAAGGGGGAAGTCCCAGCCGTGTTCACGCTGTCAGATTTTTGTTCCATACACTTGACGACCGAACAGCGCTGTCTCTGTTCATGGCTAAAGATGGCCACCGTCACATGTTCACACATACGAACGGCGGCCACCCAGCCGACCACTTTGAATGTTCAGGTTATTGCGGTTGGTGGAGGTTTGAACAGAGGTTACTGGGGTTAAGGAGTGGCACACTCCACATGGGTGGTCTGGCATTCGGTAATTTGTTTGGTTGTCGAGCAATATGTTAATATGTGAGATGACTGTTATTTTACCGAATGGCCAGACGAACAGGGACAAGAACACGATGATCCAGGGACTATGATCACGAAGCAAAGGAAATAACAGGAGGGACAAGATACGGACAGCCCATAGCAGGAATAGGGGTAACAGTCCAAGGTTCATTCCGCTACAATAGCCATCCATTTATCCTGGTCAGCAGTGGAGACCATTGAGCAAATTATTTCTCTATTATTTCAGTGTGAGTTTTTTGTTTTTTTTCATCGGCTCTTCACCTAACTATCTCGCACCTAGAACTCCTAGGTGTATTGTTTCGTTGACATTGATTATATTTTGTCTATTGCTATGCAACATGCTTATTCTTCATGCGATATGGCTAGCATATAACATGGTTAGTGTTGTCTACTAATTAAGCAAGTTATTCTACTAATTTCCTATATTATCTGATTTCAAATTGTACACAATCGTTTGTGATATCACCATTGTACTACGAAAATAAAAATGTACAAAATAAGAGAATGGCAGGTGATTCTATGGATATAATAGATCTTAAGCAGAGTATAGATTTTAATAAATGTAATTGTTTATTTGAAGCACATTAAACTACTTTTTATCTTTCTGCCATGGCACAGAACAGGTTAATACACAGAGCGATCTAAAGCTCCTTAGGCAAAGCCTTATTTATTGTCTTAGCTTTGCTACCTGGCTCTTGGGTCATACCTGATCCTAATATGTAGCAACATACATACTTTCATTTGTACTGTATATCTTTGCCAGAAAAATATGTGTGGAATTCCCGATGTGCCGTGATACCAACAAATCTATGTCACTTCAGTAATTAAGGTAGAAAACAATAGAAGGGTTTATGTGTTTTGAGTAGCTCATTATTGTAACAATTACTTTTTTTCATTCCAAAAGAGACTTTGATGAGGTGAGCAGCTACTATCGAAAGTCCTGCTGGTAGTTTTTGCTCTGAGAATCCCTCTCTTCTCCTCTTGGACACCATGGGAAACAGTGCCTTGAAAGCCCACATAGAGACAGCACAGAAGACCGGTGTGTTCCAGTTAACAGAAAAGGGTTTACCAGAGGTAAGAGAAGATACGTTTAAAGGAGATAGCCTATGGCTTGATTGTGTATGTGATACTTTATATCAGGGCTGAAATACAACTTTTGTTCCTGACAAACGAGATGAGAACATCTTTTAATCTTACCTGACTGGTCTCATGGCCTCCAGATGCACTGCTTTTCTTCTCATTTTGCAGTTTTACAGCATCCTGAGTAACAGCCACAAGAACGGTGGGGCATGATGCTACTTAGGAGAGCAGACGGAGCAAAAAACTTTCTTCTTCACTTACTGGCTACAGTTTTCTGAATGTGGAGCTAGTGATGGGCTGAGAATGTCAGTTGACGCTCACCCTTTCAGCATTTCTCAGTCTGAGACTTCCTGATTGACACCTCAGACCTGCAGAGGAAGAAGAGTCAGTGATTGGGTGCTGGCTTGCAGACTTTGGGGTTAAATGGCTCAAAGAAACACTATGGCATTAGAAATACAAACATGTTCCTAACGCTACAGTGTTCTAGAACTTTTTTTGATTTCTGCTCCTATATCAAATAAATAAATAAATAAATATATATATATATATATATATATATATATATATATATATATATATATATATATATATTAGAAAGCGTAACTCATCTTTGGCTTCTCATCCAATCCATTGAATCATTGCATCTCTATGGGGAAAGTTCAGTGTCTCCATACAGAGCGTGGAGACTCTGAGCTAAGCCAGGACCACATCTAGTAGCTGTCTGAGGAGTGTCCACTAGAGGGGTCCCTAGGCTGTACTGTAAGCACTGCCTTTGCTCTGAAAAAGCAGTGTTTACAGCAAAAAACCGACAGGGAGTAGACACCAGAACAACTACATTAAGCTGTATTTGTTTTGGTGACTATAGTGTCCCTTTTACACTGGGGCAATCAGTTAGATATGTTTTTTTCCTACCTTGTGAGAGATGGCACCATGCTATCCATGCAAAAACTTGATGCTTTATCAGTGCTACAGCCTGAGCCTCCAATGTATGTCTATTTTTTGTTTTAACACAGTTCCCAGAGGATCTGCAGAGACTGGTAGGAAACCTACGGACAATTAATCTGTCCAGTAACAAGATAGAAGTGTTACCACCGTGGATGGGGAAATTCAGCGTTCTCAAAAGCTTGTCACTGAACCATAACAGACTGAGTAAGAGAATCAGTATAGCTGCTAGCAGATCCTAGTGAGACTTTGTCAAGACCTTGTAGGAATATTGTCACTAAAACAGATAAAACATGTTGCAATTCATTCATGATGGAGTATACTTTGTTAAATATCATCATCTGTTTACACTGCAAATATAGAATGTACAAACACAGAATTGCCAGCTGAAGGCAAAAAGAGATTTTAAAAATTGGTCTCATACTTTATGATGTTAATGTAACGTATTGTCCGGCGTATAAGACGACCCCCAACTTTTCCAGTTAAAATATAGAGTTTGTGATATACTCGCCGTATAAGACTACCCCTCTTCCAATGCACACCAAATAAAAATTAGCGATAATGTACAGTGAGCAGACAGAGCTACACAGCAAGACATTAAATAATGATAATCTGAAATAGCATTTAAAGCCCAGGTATGTGCCAGGCTGTTTGGGCATATAATCCATGCCTGCTGGTCTAGCACACAGGAGGCTAATTGCGATATATTCTTTTTACTCCCCCCATTCTTTTTACAATTCTTTTTAATCCCCCCCTCCATTCTTTTTACTCTCCCCCTCCATTCTTTTTACTCCACCCCCTGCCCCCCCCCAATCCTCCCTACGTTCTTCTCACCTCCCCTTCCCTGTGCAGAGTGGGTGGCCGAGCTCCTCTTCGTCCTGTCAGTCCGGCCGGGTACCGCGCGTTACAGGAGATTCAGTTACCTGTTCCCGGCCGGACTGAAAGGAAGTGAGCACTCAGTGTGGACTGACAGGACGAAGAGGAGCTCGGCCACCCACTCTGCACAGGGAAGGGGAGGTGAGAAGAGAGGCAGTGCGGCAGCCGTCTGAGCGCTCTCTATAGAGCGCTCAGGCGGCTGCAGCATTAGAAGGGCCGGCGATGGGGGCGCAGGGCGCCCCCGGCAGCCATATAGACCCTATACCCGGCGTATAAGACGACCCCCGACTTTGGAGAAGATTTTCCAGGGTTAAAAAGTCATCTTATACGCCAGAAAATACAGTATTTTTATTTAAGGGACCTGCATCACTTGGCTATTATTTTTTTTAAACCAGCAAGCAAACACTTTTTTTAAACCAATATACATACAAAAATAAAAAGCAATAAAAAAAATGGAAAATAATGTAATAAATATGTCTAAATTTCCTATGAACAATGCAGTCAGATTGCATTGTTGGGCACGCCTCTCAGATAGGGGAGTTTCTTCAGCCTTCCCTCGTTTTCTCTTACCCACCCATCTTCGTTTCAGACCAGTCCGTTAATGACAGAAACAGGTCGTCATTGTGCAGCATTAGGATATAGATACAGACACCCAAGCCTACTCTGCATGATCACACTGTTCAGACTCCCTCTCTTCTCCCCCGGGCAGTGTATTGCAAGGTGAAGAGACCTTCTGTCTGCACATGTGTAAATCTGTTCGGCAAGCCAAATGCACTTTTTCAGCATTCCTAGGTTTTGGGCACTGGTTAGATCAGTGTGCCCCTTGGAGTGGGTGTGGAAAACATATGAAATCAGAATCAGGTAAAAGGTTGCAGAGTGAGACAACTATATAATTCAAAGCTAAAGCTGCTGGCTGAGACAGTAGTCTTAAAGTGATGCATGTCGCTTTATTTCCAAAAAGGATCCAATACTCACAAAGTTTTACAGTAACCGGTTTATTTTGCACACACTAGTTATTTTAAGACATTTTGAGTGCTGGATCCTTTTTGCAGTTGCTGTCTCTTCAATTTGAAATTTGCAGCCCCGGGCTTTCTGTAACAATCAGTCTGACCCCATGTAGTTGGTGAATGCCACCTCTTTTGTTTCTTTGTCTTTTTATTAAGCATCATTAGCATATAATAATGAAATATTTAATCAGAAATGGCAAATGTATCCTGCCTCTGGCTTCCACATACATCCTTCTGTAACCACATGTGGTTCCCTTATTTACCACTATAATGTCTTAAAGCATAGAACTTAGTAGGGCTAACCATACAGATATCTTAGCCATAATTTTATATAGTCAGTAAGAGATCCTTTATTTAACATATATAAATAATTGAGAATACAATATAAAATAAGGATTGTCTTGGAAGCAATAGTTTTGTCTTTTTTGGATATTTATTATATAAAAATATCAATATAAAATCCATTATAGCAGAGTTTATAAGATTAAATTACATGCTTGCAAATATCATTAATAGGTTAACATACCCTTCTGAACATGTCATCATGTCAGCTTCTCTTTCATTTTAAGATGGAGCAGCGTCTGTCTCCAAGTCTCTCCTCTGTTTCTTAACATTTAAAAGTACACCTATTTATAACTTAGGTGTCTCCATTTTAGGGTTACCGTAGTTCATTTACTTTATTCATTTTAGGACCTCCCTTAATTTGGCAAACATACAAGGCCATAACTAAAGGGTTCAAACATCATGGAAATTTTCCTGACTTAGTTCAAGATGGCATCTTAAAGTCTGAATAGGTTATCTGTTGTTTATACTAAGTCGTAAGTGTACAGTCGTGGGAGATTCCAGGATTTGGGGAAGTTCCATTAACTTGGGGTTACCACAGTATATTGTGTACTGCAAGTGTCGTAGCATAGCCTTGAAGCTTGTTTATGCATTATTGTTATTGTAATTCGTCTGGGACAAAATGGCGCAAACATATGCACTGAGGTTATTACTTAAAGAAACATCTATGAAAAACAATATGTTCCATTTCTAACACCTTGTCAGTTTGCAATATCTCTTAAAGACAAAGTACACAGTTTAAGAAATACAACATTTCATTCTAAAACTTGTAGCATTTGCCCGAATGTTAATAAACGGTTCTCACGCAGAAGGATAAAAGTGTGAGTTAAAGGGGCGCACTCTAAACAACATAACAGCTACCGATCAGTGTAGCGGTTTTGTTGCTGGGCACTGTCCCATGGCTTTTTCTCAAACTGTTTAGGAGTGGTTAGACCGGGACCACCCCTTCCGCTGCATTGTGGGAAAGTCTGAATTTATGCTTCTGCGTTTGAAAGACATTGATTGGCTGATACTTCCTTAGCACTCTCTTCCAATCGCAGCACACAGCTTAGTTTACTACGCAGTGAACCAGGGTATGTTTCAACTGTTGCCTAGACATAGGTTTAGATTACACTTTATGTTTAGATGATTTTTATTCATATGTTTATACTGCAGGAATAGCCGAGCTGGGATTGCCCTTATGGGGGGATCAGTCTATGCAGATAGTAAAGATTCTTGCTGTAGCACCAGTGAGCAAAAACGTTTCTGATGCCTGAGCTAGAGATTTTTTTCCATTTGTAATTGGGTTATCCACTAAACCAGAACTTTTGGAACGCATGGCCTGGGAATTTCAAACTTTTATGTATCAGGAACTCCGCTATTTCTTCAACTCTGTATGTCAAACGCTGGATTGCCTAAAAAAAAGTGTAAGGTATTTCTCAATAAACCACTATTTTCAGTTCACTGAATATAATCCAAATTATATTATGTAACTCAGGGCTAGACAAATCCCAGGTCACCACGGCGACTAGGAATTTTGTCCTTAGCACCACGTTCACTCCGAGGTGGCAGGCTGAGAGAGTGTGGAGACGAGGGAACTGTAATCTTCTTGCTCTGCTCCCTCGCGCGCCATTTAGTGATGTCAGTAGCTCTGATATGGCAGTGTTTACATTGAAATCCTGCAGTGACAGGTTATAGACACTAGAACAACTAGTATACAAAAGTGCACTATGAAACCAACCGGTGTACAGAGCAAAGTGTGTAGCGCTGATTAAAATTAGCACTTACCCCTAAGGGTTAACAAAGTGATATAGTAAATTCCCTACAAGGGAATAAAATAGACACTATATAGTGTAGTATATTAGAGAAATAGTGGTGTAAATAATCACAATAATGGATCCACTCACATGATATAGAGCCACTTAAGGACCGGCTCTGATCTCTTCCACTTGTGTGTACTTAAAGGTGACACACACCTGTATCATCCGTATCAAATGCAGACCTCAAACAAAGACAAAGAGAGAAAAGCTTCTTTGGTGCAGAGATCCCAAACAAAGTGTATATAGATGAAATGAATTAGGGCTTCTCACCTTGTCCAGAGCCTTGAACTAGGCTCTGAGTAAAGATAGCAGATGTGACAGTATAGGGTGTCACTACCCTCCTTTATAGCAGCATGGACAATTCTTTGAAGATTAAAAATTAACAAGTATTTATTTAAATAAAAATATATAAAATAACAGACCAAATGTACAGTCTTGTTGTCCGAGACGCGTTTCGCTGATCCTCAGCTTTCTCAATCGGTGCCGTCCATGCCGCCGGTCTTCTTTTTTATTTCCTGGATAGGAGGGGTTAGGGCTACGTCATCCGTGATACTGCCAACCACGGACGGCGTTGGGCGCATGCGTCGTGCTGCGTATTCTAACCTTTCGTGACGTCATCGTGCACGATGTAGCGTGCGTGTGACGTCACTTCCGGTTACACGAGATGCCGTCCTCGTCAATGTTCCCCACAATTCGTGTGTGTTCTCTTAGGTCCGCCCCTTTTCCATTCCCACCATTTCAGTTCAGGGCAAGGTATGGGCACAATGGAATGAAAAACTTCCATTCCTATTCGGCTGTGCTGTATACCATTTTACCCTATACATCCATACTCAAGAAGGAGTATATACATAAAAAGAAAAAGAGAATATATACAAAAATCAGAGTTCCATCAATCTTAAAGATACATCAACTATAAAGTATAAAAAACTGCAATCTGCTTTATTTATATGTCTTAATGACGATGTATAGTAACCATGTTGTCTTGAATTAACAAAGATAAAATGTATAGTTAACACTAAAAAATATATATATATTAAAAAATATATATATTAAAAGTATCATTAAATATTAGGAAATATTAAAAAGTATTAAAAACTATATGTATGTATAAAAAGTCACCTAATATATGGTGTCTATTATAAAAAGTGACATAACTCAAAATCGTCATTAAGCCCATATGGTTGCATAGTGTTTAAATTAAAAATCCATTGCATCTCTGTTTGTCCTATATGTTTCAACAGATCTCCACCTCTCCAATTCACAACAATTCTTTGTATTCCTATAAAATTCATTAAGTGGGGATCACAATTATGTTTTTCTTTAAAGTGCAGTGAAACGCTATGTTTTTCAAACCCTTTTTTGATGTTTCGTATATGTTCCTGTATCCTGGTGTTTAATGTTCTTATGGTTCTGCCTATATAGGCTAGTCCACAGGGACAAGTGATCATGTAAATAACCTTGTTTGAGTGGCAAGTGATCATTTGTTTGATCTTAAATTGTTTAGTTCCATTCCCTGGGGGATTAAATTCTGTTGTGTGGCATTTTATACTGTTGGTGCCCCTGCAGGCTCCACATGTGCCGCAGCCATAAAATCCGTATGATTGGTTAAGGAAATGTTTCGTTTGTTGTTTAGGTGGTATATGGTTGTGTGTCAAACTGCTCTTTAAATTACGTACTCCCCTATAGGTAATTGTGGGTTTTTCCGGAAGAATGGAGTTAAGCATAGGATCACCCATTAGAATAGACCAATGTGTTTGTATGATTTTTTTCAGATGTCTATTGTTGCTGTTGAAGTCACAGATAAAATTCAGATTCTGAAATTCTGGGTCTGTTTTCTTATCTTTATATTTAATTAGTTCATTCCTATCAATGCTATCGACCTCTATGTATGCTTTCTCTAGAAGTTCTTTCTTGTATCCTTTTTCACTAAAATCATTGATAATTCTAACTGATTGTTCCCTAAATTTATCTTCTTCAGTGCAATTTCGTTTAATCCGTAAAAGTTGTGCCTTAGGTGCGTTTAGCAACCAAGGTGAGAAGTGGCAGCTATTTTCGCATATATAGCTATTTACATCTACTTTCTTAAAAAAAGTGCAAGTTTTCAATACACCTCCCTCTATATATATATTAAGGTCCAGGAACTCGACCGAAGTTTTACTAGAGTTGCAAGTAAGGCGAATACCCCAATCATTTGTATTAAGGTGGTTTAGAAAACAATTTAAAGAATCCTGGTCTCCTCTCCAAATAAAAAATATATCATCGATGTAACGGCGATAGGTAACGAGGCCCGCAGCCCACCCATCATCGTCATGGATAAACTCTTGTTCCCAGAGTGCCATGAACAGATTGGCGTAGCTGGGCGCGAACCTCGTTCCCATCGCCGTTCCACATGTCTGGAGATAAAACTGCTCCTCAAACCAAAAATAATTGTTTGTGAGGATCCATTCTATACCCTCAATTATAAAGTTGATATGTTTCTCAGAGAATTTCTGTGATTTTTCTAAAAAGAATTTGGTAGCTCTGCAACCCATATCATGAGAAATAATCGTATATAACGAACTAACGTCGGCTGTCACGAGATGATAATTATCATCCCATGTTATGTCATTTAGAATTTGTAATATATGAATGGTATCACGTAAGTAACTAGGACTGGTACTTACAATGGTTTGTAGGCATCTATCGATATACTGGGATAATTTACTAGAGATAGATCCAATCCCTGAGACAATAGGTCTCCCGGGTGGTCTATCTCTATCCTTATGTATCTTCGGGAGATAGTAAAATACTGGAATTTTTGGGTGTGATACATTAAGGAATTTATATTCCCGTTGATTTAAAACTCCTAGTGCTTTACCTTTTTCAATAAGGATGTTGTAACTATTAGTGATGTCCTTAGTGGGGTCTTTCGGTAAGATTTGATATGTGTTACGATCATTCAATAATTTTAAGGATTCTTTTACATATTCCTCTATGTCTAGGATGACTATACCTCCTCCCTTGTCTGCCGGTTTAATCACTATAGTGTGATCTTCTCTTAATTCTCTTAATGCTGTTCTCTCTTTAAAACTTAGATTATTGTTCTTAGGTTTTTTGACTTTTTGAATATCCCTCATAACCATTTTTTCAAAGGTTATCATCTCATTTGAGATGCAACCCTTTGGAAAAAATGTGGATTTCGCCTTTAGATCCGTATGAACAATATCCCCCTCTTGACTCATCCCTTGGACCCTAGTTAATGGTGTCTTCATAAAAATTTTTTTGATACATAGTTTTCTCTTGAACCTATTTAAATCTAGATATACGCTGAATTTATCAAGTGGTTTTGTGGGTGCGAACTTCAATCCTTTCTGTAACAATGCTATTTGTGATGGAGTTAGTTCTCGTTTAGAAAGGTTGAAAATCCCGTTCTCCTTGGGTATTTTTCCCTCCTTTCTTTTTTGTATACGTATCCCTCCTCTAACTCCCCTTCTTCTAAACTCCGTCTTCTCTTTCCTGGGGACATATGGTGCATAGGGGAGTCCTTGTGGCGTCCCTTCATGTGGCCATTCCAAAAATCCTCACCATTGGTGGATGTCGCCAATGGTAAGAATCTATTGTGTGTAGAATTTTCCCTATCTTTATATTTATTTCTATGTATATCCATATTTTGAGTGTTCTTTATCATTAAGTTAGATCTTGGTGATCTCTCTTTTTGTCTAATTGGGGATCTTAATTGTTTCCTCCTTACTACTTTCTCCCATTGTGGTTGAACATTGGCAGGTGGTTTTGATCTTTGTGGTAGACCTTCCTGTGACTTCTCTCTTCTATGGTCTTTTAAATGTTTATTACGTAAGGGTGTTCTCCTAACTGTAGGGCTATTGTTTCTCCCCCTGCGGTAATAGTGCTGGCTGTTATCCCAATCATTTACCATTTGGCCATTATTTGTCTGAAACCTATTGTTTCTCTTTGTATGTGTTCTAACTTCCCCCCTTGCATAGTCTTCTTTATCTCTCTGGTATTTTCTTTTCTTAATGTCTATTACACTTTTCTCTAGTTTTTCTAAATTGGTCTGGATGTCTATTAATGTATTGGAATATTGTTCTGATGACATATGTTCCACTAGGGAATTTTTTGTCTCATTAATTTCTACATCGAGCTTATGCAATGTCTGTGTACGTCTTTTAATAATCAGGTTCATCATTCCAAATGAAAAACTCTCCAAGAGGTCTGACCAACTAGAACAACTACATTAGGCTGCAGTTTATCTAGTGACTATAGTCTCTCTTTAAGAATTGTATATTTTTCTTTAAAAATAAAGCTTTATTAGTTTAAAAAAACCTGGATCCTAACTAGTTTAGTTGGTGCTTAGATTCAAACCAAGTTTGTCAAGTCCTGCTGTGAATAGCAAAATGTATATTTGTCCCAAATTGCTGTGAATTGTGGTCATTTAAAATTGGCCGTTTACATTTAATTTTTTTCTCTTTAGACGGAAACATTTAGAAAATATTAGCTAGCCCTTCGCTTGGAAATAATGTGTTGTATAATTGTTGGTAAAACTATAGAATATAAGTTTGGATTGCTTTTGATGCATATCTATAATTTTTTTTTTCTAAATATTTTGCCAGCCAGACTCCCAGAAGAACTATGCAAGCTGAAAAAGTTGGAAACTTTGCATCTTTCCGGAAACCAAATCAGCCAGCTGCCGGCTGATTTTGGCCAGCTTTCTGCATTAAAGACCCTAAACCTCTCAGGAAACCAACTGCGAGCTATACCATCCCAGCTCTGCACCCTGCGACACCTAGATGTAGTGGACCTTTCTAAAAACAAGATTCAGGCTATACCAGACGAGGTTTTGGGAGTGCAAGCCATCGAAATAAACTTAAATCAGAATCAGGTAAGTGAAATAGTTGAATGTCAAAAAATAAAATTTACACACAGGAAGGTAATAAAGAAATCTTTGCATTATTAAAGAGGTAAATTAAACACCATAACCACTACAACTCATTGTGCGGATTATGGTGAGTGTCAGCCCCGAATTTCATAGTCCACCCTCTTTAGCTATACTGATAATGCAGAAATTACACGCTTGCACTGTTAACTGTAATTTCATCCAATCTTGAAGGTAAATGTAGGTGGGTGGGTTAGCACAGCACTCTTAGTCCAAGGATGGACAGATTTTCACTTTATAAATTCTGCAATTCAGGGGAAAAACCTGGATTAATGGGACACTATAGTCACCCAGACCACTTCAGCTCAAGGTCCCTCATGTTTTAACCCTGCAGATGCAAACAGTTTACATCGCAGGGTTAAAGGACCACTATAGTGCCAGGAAAACATACTTGTTTTCCTGGCACTATAGTCCCTGAGGGTACCCCCACCCTCAGGGTCCCCCTCCCGCCGGGCTCTAGGGGGTGGAAGGGATTAAAATGACCTCTTTCTCCAGCGCCGGGAGGGGGACTGTCCGCCTCCTCCCCTCCTCCTCAGCTGAATGCACATCCGCGGCAAGAGCGGCGCACGCATTCAGCCAGTCTCATAGGAAAGCATTCACAATGCTTTCCTACGGACGCTGGCATCTTCTCACTGTGATTTTCACAGTGAGAAGCGCGGAAGCCCTCTAGCGGCTGTCAATGAGACCGCCACTAGAGGCTGGATTAACCCATATGTAAACATAGCAGTTTCTCTGAAACTGCTATGTTTATAGAAAAAAGGGTTAAACCTAGCTGGACCTGGCACCCAGACCACTTCATTAAGCTGAAGTGGTCTGGGTGCCTATAGTGGTCCTTTAAGTCCAACATTCCAGGGAACCTTTAAGTTGTCTGCTAGAGGGTTTTTGGAACAGTAGTCTGCAGAATTATTTGCTAGATTGTGAATTGCTGGGTTGCATTCAGATAAGGAGTCAGTAAGTCTCTCTGGTCTCCCCCCGTAGTGCCTTATATAGGGAAACACACATGATGGGAACTAACATACACTAGGTGAAAGTACTGGCAACAGCATAGAGGTCTGGGTGATGCCTAATAAGGCATTGTGAGAGCTGAAACATAGCTTGTATCACGGAGCCTCGAGAGAGAAAACGAGAATACCCAAACACAGGTGTAATCACTTACCCAATGGGTCCAGTGACCTCCCATGTTGTGGCTTTACTTGAGGAGCAGCACCGCAGAGTCCTTGCTGGACTTTGCAAAAAGGGTGACACGGCATTGGATGTGGAGGGGATGGTGGATCTTCACCAATAGTGTCAGCATTATGGATTAGGAAGGCTCCTACCATACCTGTGGATGAACCCAAGGATATAATTGCTGCCATTCAGGACATCTGTCAGAACAGGCATTGTGACTAAATAGAAAATATCCCTAGGTCACTGCAGAAAATGGTTCTATAAAGGTCTTTGATGAGCTAGAATTCTCTCTCCTGATAGACTTCAGTTCATGCCAGTCACCAAGCTATTGAGGGAACGGAGCATCGGGAACCCTAGTGGACCCACGGGGAAAACATGCAGATCTCCTACGTTGACGCCCGTGGTGCCAGTGGGAGTTGCGGCTTCAGGGCGACTCCCTCTGACAGACCAGGGGACTCCTAGCACTGTACCCATTACAGTTCTGTGTAGGGATTGTGGTGCGTAGAAAAGTATGAACTTTCTTTGTTTAGCTTTTTCAGCTTTAAGAATATCATTTCAGTTGTTACTTATTCTCAAGTTATATCTGCAGATTCGAATTATGGAATATATTTAAAATTTTCCAACTGCCTCACAGACTTTAAGACATTTCTCCCATTTTTCTTTGTTTTGCATTCGATAATGTAACCATATACTTTCTTTCCTGCAGATATCTCAAATCTCTGTGCAGATTTCACACTGTCCACGTCTCAAGGTTCTACGTCTGGAGGAGAACTGCCTGGAGCTCAGTATGTTACCCCAGAGTATTCTTAGTGACTCACAGATATCCCTACTTGCAGTGGAGGGAAACCTTTTTGAAATAAAAAAGCTCAGAGACCTGGAAGGCTATGAAAAGGTCAGTGGTCTAGGACCGTAGCATGCCCAGCTCATGTCTATGTGTTAAAACCGTTTGCTCTGGAAATTACTGAATATATTAATGTACTGTTATGTGTCAGAGAGAATTGCTCTGGATTCAATATAAATGAATCTAATAAGAAAGCAGTCAAAATGGAAGTTCCTTAATACATGTCCAAAATATATATATTATACAGGAATTTTCTAAATTAAATATATGTATACATGATTGGAATGTTGCCAGATCACCTTAGTATGGCATGAGAAAACCAACAAAACTTAATTTAAAGCAGGCTTCCCCAAACTCCGGCCCTCCAGATGTTACTGAACTACAACTCCCATGATTTTATGAATGAAATAGGCTGAGAATCATGGGACTTGTAGTTCAGCAACATCTGGAGGGCCGGAGTTTAGGGAAGCCTGATTTAAAGGACCACTCCAGACTCCAATAGAACTTAACTGCTTTTTTTTTTTTTTTTTATAGATTTTGGCCACAATAATATGCTGTATTTGTTTGCATGGTCAAATCGTTATATATTTTGCACACACAGTTGAGTTTATTTTTTGCTCAATGCTGCACCATAAGCCTGCCTCCTTAGCCACGCCCACCATGCCGGGAGAATACTTCCTTGTCAAATGTATGCACAAAGTCCCAGACCCAAGAGGATTGAGTGACCTGTTTTCAATTCACAACCTGACTGCAGACAGACGCTTTAAAGAGTTTGTGACATCCTTACTATAAATTTCCCTTGGTGTCCTCGCCTAATGCAGGTTGAATTGTAGTTAAAGGACCACTATAGTGCCAGGAAAACACTTGTTTTCCTGGCACTATAGTGCCCTGAGGGTGTATAGTGAATTACCCGGACGGATTTGCAGAGCGCCTGTGGTTGTGGTTACCAAGTTTGATAGCATACATATATTTACAGAATTGGCATGGAGATCCCTGCTTGTGCATAGGGCATGTATTTCTGTAAGTGGATGGGGGGCAGCAAACAGCTTTTCCTTTAAAAATCTCTCTCCACTTTGTGTTAATACATTTGTATGTGGTTTACGTCACTTTCACATTGCCAAGCATAATTCCATCCAGGCTGTGTAGCAATGATATACTGAGAGCTATGTACTAAATCACCCCCAGAAATTCCTAACCTAGGATTGCTGTCCAGCAAGGACAGAATTTCACTTGGAAGTGTTGATTCCATATTATCAGTGTAGCTGCCAGTGAGCTACGTTTTTTGTAAGGTCTCTCAAACTGACAAACTTCGGAAAATGTCACTAAACCTACGTCACCATAACCACTCCAATGAGCTGTTTGATGGCTCCATTTTGACATAATCCACTATTGACTTTTTTCCAAGTTACAAACTATTTTTAAATATGTTAAACAGCATAAATAATGGAATGACTTTTCTTTCAGTACATGGAACGGTTTACAGCGACCAGGAAGAAGTTTGTATGACTACCACGTACACCAGATAGAGACTTTTATGGCGACACCATGCCTAAAGCCAGCCAAGCCCTGGATGTACAGTTTACAGCTTGCAAAGCCCCAGCTTACCAAGAGCCAAAAACACTAAAGTATCTACACTCTTATGGGACACATTTAAAGACCGCTAGCTGAACATTTAACAAACCGGTAGTATCCTTCCAGCTATATAGTGAAGCAATTGCTGAATCTGTTTAAGGGGACCTTACATCGAGCAGGAATATTGTATATGTATTAATGTAATATAAACATTTTCTAAAGGTTAATATAAAGCAATGGCTTACTGGTTTTTAATGCAGCCGATGACCGCAAATTGAATTAAAGTTAATTATTTGCTTGGATACAAGTTTATATCCATCCATTTCAGCACATCATGTTAATTTATTATGGGAATGAAAATAAACTCATATGTTAATATGGGGAACCGTTCTGCTTATTCTGAAAAACTCGACCGTAGCGGTTAGAGGGCTTCACCCAGAAATGACTGGTTAAAGAGCAAACTTGCAATGTGTACAGCTTAGCTATTTTATGTTTTGCAGTTTGTTTACTAAAACTTGATGTTTAGTGAATAAACTGCACAGTATCTTACCGACACCAAACGTGCTTAATGTTGGAGAGTATTCTGTGACCGTGTGTGATTTCAAAGTAATTTGCAGTCAACTCACAGTGCCCATTAAGGTACAGTATGCCAGGTCTGTTGTCCCCATGTCGTTCATTGCAGTAGGGCCAAATAAAACAAACAGGAAGACTTGTCCCCAACAGTATGCCCTTTGGCCCTTTTCTTTGCTTTCAGAATACTTTTGGTGCCGACCGCCTGATCATTAATAAACAATATCCTTAAAGGGAGCGGCTACAAAAGGCATTTTAAATAGCACTGTGGACAGAGTGAGCATTACACAAAACACTCAAACTGTTTAATGACAATTTCCCAAACACATCTGGAAGCTATAAAAACCATATATGGCAGTTATACATCACCGTAACCTTGTAACTCTCTAATGCTGCTCAGCGATAAAGAGGAATTCCACAAGTCTTAAAATTAAACACTGGTACTGATCCTAAGAGTCAAAATAAAGATTTCTGTTCAAGGAGTGAATGTAACTAAAAGCTGGGGGAGGAGTCACTATGGCAGCACAAATTGTCATTTGAGTCCTAAATGGCAGAGAATTAAGCAGTAAAACTTCAGTGGCTTGATCTATATACCAACACAGGTTTACAGGTTTAATTACAGAAACACGTTTGTTTCTGGCCCCTCTTCATAGAGATTAAATGTTTAAAATTATCTTTCCCTCTCCTCCCAATTCTACTTGGCCTACTGTTTTTAGTGTGAGGCTTTTTTGTTCAGGACGGTGTACAAGTGCCATCTTTAATAAAAGATTTTTAATTTAATCCAAATATAAAATCAGATTTTTTTTGCTCCGTTTGGAGCCATAAGTAATAAATTGGGGTATAATTGAGTTAACCAAACCTCATCCTTCTTTAGAAATGTAAACACTGCATTTTCTCTGAACAGGCAGTGGTTAGAGTGCCAATGGACATGCTATAGACACCAGAACCATTCTATTATGTTTTAGTAATTCTGGTATAATGTCCCTCTAAAGCTAAAGTAATTTGTGACATTAACAACAAATACACACATTATAAAGTCTTAGAGTAGTAGTAGTGTGCGTATTAAAAGAACAAGACTTCAATTTAGATTAATGAGGTATTCACACTTGTACAGCCACTTCACCTGTTTCCACCTATAACTTTCTAAAATATTCACACAAATTATTGAGAGAGGTGTGTGTGTAAAATATATATCTATCTCCATCCATCCCCAGGACGTACTAGAAAACCAGAGTAATCTGAATGTCCCTTTCCTGGTTAAATAAGTGATTATTATGGCCAGGCCTGGAGACAAGCTTTGAACCAGAAGTTTACATATTTGAAATAAAAAAAAAACAAAAAAGCTATTTGTCTGCCCTAATATTTTACCTTTATTCCCTGCACTTGAAAAATATAAATAAAAGCAAGTACACATTTGGACTTTTAGCCATTTTATTAAAACACATTGAAAAGAGACAAATAATAACCCATCAGACAATTGCTTAGTGCAAATTAAAGTAATATCTATAATGGACTTTTATGCACTTAGTCTCTCAAGGAGTCTTACAAATTGTGTTCAGCTGGATAAATCCAAATAGACTCCCTATACAGAAGGAATATAGATCTCGCCCCAATGTCCAGGTGCCTATAAATCACTTACTTGCACTAAGCAATTCCATAACATACAACTTCTGTTCTAGGTTGTACGACAGTAAAGGAGACAAGCAGTTCTCGCTTTACTCTTATTACCCTGTGCCATTCCTCCCCGTAGGATAAATCCTTGATGTGGACGTGTTAACTGCAACCCTTCAGCTTTTACACAATACGAGTGACATCAGTTTAAAAAAAAAAATTAAGTATATATAACATCTGCAGCCAAAAAACAAAAATAATAAAACACTTTCCAATACACTGGCTACACCTTATGGACGTAGAATGCATTAAATGCAAATGGCAGTTTTAGTTGTTTAAGAAACACTTAACACCACTGTGCATGGCAAGTATAAAGACACAATGGCATCAGTGTGCTTCTAGAAAGGCCAGCCTTTTATAGTAATCCATCACATCTCCTCCTATAAAAGGTTCACTGCTAACAAAACAGTCTGAGTCTCCTGGAATAAAACTGGATGGGTGGCAATAGATCTCTTTATTGCTCAACATCTGCACAATAAGAATTGCATTGGCAGAGGTAATCCCTGCACTCCTTCATGTTATGTTAAAAACTTCTTGAAGTCTGAAAAGCTAGTAAGGTGATAGTGTGTAAAAAGGAAATCCTAAGTAAACTAATAGTGAAAGCTCAAGGCAAACTACTGCTAGTAAAGTTTTGATTAAGAAAAAAAAAAAGTGTATTTTTTTTTATTGCAGTACCCAGAGGACAGTACAACCTACTCACCATCCATGCTACATACAGAGCTGTTAGAACATTCGTACACAGCCAGCAGCTCCCAGGCTGTGCATTAGAGTACATCGTCGGTTTTCTCCAGAACATTTTTTTTTTTACAGCAGGGGTGGCAAAAAAGTTAGATCCCCAGATGTTGTATAACTAAACTCCCTTGATCCTTTGATGCAAGAGAAGAGAGAGCAGCCAATATAGGAGATAATGTTTCATAGAAAATACAGTTTGAGCATATTAAAGTCATAGGATATATAATTAAAGTGAGGTTACAATCATAGTTCAAAGATATCCTATTGTACAAATCGGCATTCACATTGTCACTAAACTATCATTCAGACTGGGTCACGTCAGCAGCAATTGTAACAAAGCGGACTACAATGAAACATTTTGTGCTGGACACGAAGATTTTCAGTCAGTTTCTAAACTGCTTTGACAATGTCCACACACTCCCCATCTTGCAACTATTGCATTTTACATGCAAATCATCACACCAAACTAACCCTCTTTATTTTATTTTCCTTTCTTTTTTTGAGGAACTGAGAAGACTTTGCAAAGAATTACTAAAGAAATTAAATGTTTTTTGTAACCACCATGTGTGAAATAGCAATAAATCTCTCTTAAATCCATCAACAAATGAGAAAATGAAACGCTGGATGGAGGTAGTAAGCATCGCTGCGTCTTGGAAGGAATTCTGTCTATCCTTGTAAAAAAAAAAAAAAAGATAAATAATGGATGTATGTGTTGGTAAGAACTTTAAATCTGTTAACCTATATGCATTCAGCCGAAGAGGAGGAGAGCTCCCCGACCGGCGCTGGAGAAAGAGGTAAGTTTAACCCCTTCCTCATCCCGGTGCCCGGCGGGAGGGGGACCCTGAGGGTGGGGGCACGCTCAGGGCACTATAGTGCCAGGAAAACGAGTGTTTTCCTGGCACTAAAGTGGTCCTTTAATGAGCTGTCTACATGGAGTGTATAGCTCATGCCTCTTAAGTTTCACTGCTCAATTATCAGCTGTTTAGGAGTTAAATCACTGTGTTTCTGTTCATGCAGCCCTAGCCACCCCTCCCCGGCTGTGACTGACAGCCTACATGAAAACAAAATGGTTCAGATGTCAATCAGATGTAACTTAGAAAGTTTGTATCTCCTGCTCTTAAAAACTGAACTTTCATCACATAAAAGTAGGCACTTGCAGGGTCTAGCAAGCTATTAACTAAGCAAGAGATAAGACATTCTATCTACATGAAATATTTTGCAATTATGGAAGTGTAAACATTAGATGACTCTTTACAGGAAGTGTTTAGGAAGGCACTTATAGGAGGGTGTGGCTAGGGCTGTATAAACAAAGTGATTTAACTCCTAAATGTCAGAATTGGGCAATGAGGCTGCACGGCATGATCTATACACCACAACTGCTTCATTAAGTTTATGTTTTAGTGACTCTAGTGTCCCTGTAAATGTGAAATTCACTTTGAATTCTAGCTTTAGCGAATAACCCTGTTAATGTTTGAACATCCCGAGATGGGGCCTAGTCTTGAATACTGGGTAATGACTATCTTTTACTGCAACTTCAATAATGCATATTGCCAAATAGGTTTTATAATCAGTCTCCTCTCCTAGTGTGCTCAGGTAAGTTGAAGTTTTAGCAAAAAGTAAAATAAACCGTATTACTTGGTACATTTACATCATATCATTAAGATAAAAAACAAACATAATTCTGCTTTCTGGGTAGTGTTCCTGTTGTGAACGGTCAAGAATTTCAAATTTTGGATAGAATTGTACAAAATCAGCTGGATTTTCAGCCTAAAATGCGAGATTCAGTTTGATTTTTTTTACACTTTACTGTGAAACTCCTACCCCCGTGCTGATTCTGCTTGGGGCTCATTGGTACAAGGTTGTACATGAGATCAAACATTCAGAACTCAGGTCACAATTCATTCCGAGTCTCAACTATGTTGAATTGTGACGTTTGGGACAGAACAACTGCCAATATAGTCACATGGTGAACTTTATTCAGACGTTACAGTGATGTATAAAAAGTAATACCACTAGTAGACAATATATTGCAAATTTAAGGTGGTGTTCAAAGTTAAAATAAAATATTTTATACAAGTTATTTTAAATTGGTGCTAAGCAGAATGACTAGCCCTATATGTGCATATGCATAATTAGTAAAAAAAATAATAACTGCAACAATGCATGTTTAATATACAGGATTATTTACTAAAGTAAGAATTCAAAGTGGATTTCAAGTATAAAGCTGGAGTAGCCCAACAGAAAGCATACTGGACTTGGAGAGTTTTTCCGGTTCCGCTACTTTGACCTTACATGTAAAATTAACTTTGAATTCTCAATTTAGCAAATAAACCCTGATAAGGTTACTAGAGACAGGGACATTGTTTATATGTCAACTCACGTTCTTAATCTTGTAGCTACAAGCTGCCTATGACGTTCCTTCCAGTTTCAAAGAGTTTTGGTTTTAGTGGAGAATCCCTTTTAAACCCAGCCCAGACGTGTTCAGGGATGGACTGTCACAATGCGAGAAGCAACGCTGGCCTTTAAAACCTTTTTTAGAACTTACAAATCATTAGGCAAAAGGGCAGAGATTTCAAAGGCTCAGACAGGCAATAAAAAGTTATGATGATCCGAAACCAATTTCTAACATTTAGTTATGGCATTATAAGACGTCAAAACGCTTAATGTTGAACTGCAAGCAATGGAAAGTAAAATCTGGAAAAAAGGCTCTCTCAAGAGTATACACACTGTAAAACACAGCATGATTAAGTCTGACATTCTTTGGTAAAAGGCACTTCTCAAAGACGACATGACAAGTTCACAGATTTCAGAGGATACATAAAATAAAGTGATCACAAATGTATATTTAACGCAAAGATACAACCTGCATATCAAAGCACCTAGACTATAGGAAAAAAAACTCCCGATGTGTGCTAAAATTCTCCATGTCAAGTTCACCTTTATATGTTGTAGATTTGCTTTAAAGAACAGAGAAATTAAAATAAATACAGTGGATGTTGGAAGAGTTGACCTTGTACAATTACACTCCCCTGGGTAAACGAGTTGCAGCAGAGCACGTACAGCATGCTACGTGTAGACATACCTCAGACCAATAATGCTTTGTATTCATGTATTTAGGAAAATGGAGACACACCTTCCACGGTTAAGATGGGAAGGAGAATTTACCTCCCTAAAGACCCCAGACAATTACAGAAAAGCATTTTTGCCATACAGTTTAAAAAGGCTAAAAGGAGCTGAAGTCTTCACTCAATGAGCTTCTTCGCTGTGGTGTTTGCTTGATCGATGCGAGCTTTGTTTACCTCCGCCTAAAAAGAACACAGGGCATGAAAATGTATGCCAATATTTAACTAAGAAAGCCACAAACAAGTGTGGAAACTTAACGTTACAGGTGAAGTCAAAGTCAGTGGTAGAGGTCACTTGGAATGTGAACCCTGGTCAACTCAGAGACCGTCATGGACTTTTAGGATACTATTGCACCCCGCTTGTGAACAGTGTTTGTTGTATCCCACCCTTCTATAAACCATACTAAAGGGTCCGTTTTGGTACCATATCCACTACAGGCCGCTGCAGATTTGGTGTGAGGAGTGGCATAATCCGACAGTAAGCAATCAGATTGTGCCAATCTTTGTTTATTTTCAGTTGGACATACAGCTTATATGTATTTTTTGTTGTGACATTCTACGACACCTCTTTCATTACGACTCTAGGACTGGGCTACTGTCAGCGGATTCCCCATAATCCTCCCACTGTACAGTGCAGCACAACTTGCGGTGGCTTTAAAAATACTGAGATAAAGATCACAGGCTAATTTTGTACAAGTTTAGTGTTTTGAATATGGGCAAGC